AGTTAGTCCACCTCCCTATCCACTCGCACCCTTTGAGACGTTGTATCATTTCAGATCTGGACTGCTTCATGTGCAGTCGTGAAGCAGATTCCTCTACAATCGAAGGTTACAGGTGCAGAACTTGCGTCTATGCCAACTTCCACAAGGAATGCGCCGAGTCTCCGATGGAGATGAAACACCCTTACCACCCTCCTCACCCTCTCTCTCTCCGCCTCCTCGCTCTTCATGAAGCTTCGGAGATATGCAGTTGTTGTCGGGAAGAACTCGGACGAGGATTTGTATATCAGTGTCCTATCTGCAAATTCTTCATTCATCTTCTTTGCGCTAAGAAGCCGCCGGTTCTTGAGGTGGATAAGCCCAAGAGTCACGACCACAAGCTCGTCCTCCTCCCTAAGCCACGTCCCTTCACCTGTGATGCTTGTGGTTTACTGCTTGATTCTCCCTCATTTCCTTGGGCTTGTCTCGAATGCGGGGTCATGATCCATAGAGGATGCATCGACTTACCACGCGTGATCAGGATCTGCCGTCACCATCATCGTCTACGTTACAATTCCTCTCCCTCTCGAGCTCATGAATCATCATGGTCCTGTGGAGTTTGTCGCAAGGTCGTTGACAACAACTATGGTGCGTATTCTTGTAGTAGAGGTTGCGATTACGTGGTCCACTCAAAGTGCGCAACAAGAGAAGATGTGTGGGACGGAAAAGATCTTGAGGGAGTTCCGGAGGAGCCCGAAGACGCCGAGCCTCCATTCGAGGTTATAGACGAGAAAACGATACATCATTTTAGTCACGGACATCATCTTAAACTGAACGAGGAGGATGACGAAAGATTTGATAGAGGAAAGCACTGTCGAGCATGCGCTCTTCCTATCTGTATTCACTTGGGTAATACCTACTGCTGCAGAGAATGTGATTGCGATTTCATTATCCACGAAACATGTGCAAATCTGCCGAGAAAGATGTGGTATATGCTACATGCCCATCGACTTGAGCTTCACACCACTAAATTAGAGAACAGTTCGTGTGATGTTTGTGGTCGATTGAGTTCTGGTTTCATATACAAATGCTCCGAAGAGGTTTGCCGTTTCGAAATAGACGTGAACTGCGCTTCAGTCTCCGAACCCTTTAACCATATAACCCATCCCCACCCTCTATTCTCCACGTCGATCTCGAAGCATTACCAGACATGTTCAGGTTGCAAAGAACCAGGAAGTTACTACCGCAAGACCATGCAGTGCATCGAATGCGAGTTCGTCTTGTGTTTCAGGTGCATAACGTTACCATCCAAGATGAAGTACAAGCAAGACAGGCATCCACTGGTTCTTGAAAGCGGTGGAGGAGAAGAGACCGGAGGCGAAAGCTGGTGGTGTGAGATCTGCGAGAGGAGAATGGATAAAGAGGTGATGTATTATACATGTGACGGTTGCTGTGTGACTGTTCATGTTGATTGCGTGGTCGGAGAGGACGTACACATGATGCCCGGTCTTTATTCCGACGAATGGGTGAAGGGGGAGTTCGAAGCTGCGGCCAACGTCGGTTGTTGCCGACCGTTTTGCCATCGATGTGAGATGCGATGTCCGTTCCCCATCGTCTTCAAGAAAAACGATCTTCATTTGTGTACTCTCCGTTGTTTACGCGGCTTCAGGTCATAACTAAAGGTAGCGAGAAAAATAATTTCAAGTTTGAATAAACATTTTTTTCTGATATATATATATATATATATATATATATATATATTTGTGAAGATCGATACAAACTCCATTTCTTTCAAACGTCAATTTAATAATAGTGAATTAATGAAAAGGAGGGTCATTGAGATGTGGAAACTTCAACGGGGAGTGGGAATATTCTTCTTTAATCCATTGTTTTTAATAATTGGTATGACCGTGTTGGTATAATCTAATATAAATGGATAGGTTTGTTGGGAAAAGTGATAAGACAACAAATCCAATATATAATACTACTATAAAGCAAAGAGCTGGAATCCACAACTAAACTCTGTCTCATTAGATGCGTCTAAAATTTGAACACACAAATTTTAAAAAATAAAATTTTATCCAAATATAAGTTTTATTAATCAAGAATACATTTAAAAACAATATTAAAAATTACAAGGAGCAGCTACACCCACAAGGAATGATTAATTAATGAATTTGGAGCAGTGAAATCACATCATGACTTCATTATTAAATTCAGACCGCACCTTATTCCGATAATCCAATACAGTTTCAAAAAAAAAAAAAAAAAACCTAGTTGGGGTCTGTGAGAAATATGGGTTGTTTCAGCTTCGAATCCACCCTCACCTTGTGAGAAAAAGGAGCGACATGTCAGATTTCGACTGCGGCATGTGCGGCTCCCGGCAACAAGCCTCTACGACCGAAGGCTACGAGTGCACGTTCTGCCACGCGGGTAAGTTCCACAAGGAATGTGCCGAATCTCCGTTAGAGCTCCGTCATCACCCTTATCATCCTCCTCACTCTCTCGCCCTCCGTCCCCTTCCCCAAGATCACGGTCTTCACGAGACATGCAGTTGCTGCGGAGACAATCTTGAAATAGGATGTGTCTATCGCTGTACTGCCTGCAGATTCGTCATGCATTTTATTTGCGCAATGAAGCCGCCGGTTCTTGAGGTGGCTCAGCCCAAGAGCCATGGCCACAAGCTCTTCCTCCTCCCTAAACCACGCCCCTTCATCTGTGATGCTTGCGGTTCACTCTTCGATGGCCCCTCTCTTCCTTGGGGTTGTCTCGAATGCGGGGTCATGATCCATAGAAAATGTATCGACTTACCACGTGTCATCAGGATCTCCCGACATCCACAACATCGTCTCAGTTACGTTTTCTCTCCTCCTCCTCTTCCACCTCATGTATCATCATCATGGTCATGTGGAGTTTGTCGGAAAACGGTCGACAACAGTTACGGTATGTATTCTTGCATCAAAGATGACTGTCATTATGTGGTCCACCCAAAGTGTGCAACAAGACATGATGTGTGGGACGGAGAAGACCTTTACGGACAGCCGGAAGAGCCCGAAGATATAAAGGAGCCATTCGAGGTTATAGATGACAAAATCATACGCCATTTCAGCCACGAGCATCATCTTAAACTGAACGATGATGACGACGACACAAGTTTTGATGGAAGCCACCACTGCCAAGCGTGCGCTCTTCCTATTCGTTTCCATTCTGGCAACATCTACAGCTGCATAGGTTGCGATTGTGATTTCGTTATTCACGAAAAATGTGCCAATCTACCGCGGAAGTTATGGTACATGCTACATCCCCACCGTCTGAAACTGATGGCATGCGGGAGTGATATGAACGAATGTAGCGTTTGTTTCCGGGGATTTTGTGGGTTCATATATGCTTGCTGCAAAGCGGATTGCCGTTTCACAGTAGACGTGGATTGTGCTTCAGTGTCTGAGCCGTATATCCATATAACTCATCCTCACCCTCTGTTCTCCACAACGGTTTGGATGAACGGCAAGGCATGTTCGGGGTGCAAAACAAATGACGACTATGACAAGATGATGCAGTGCATCGAATGCGACTTTGTCTTGTGTTTCAAATGCATCAGTTTACCGCCGAGGGTAAGGTATAACCAAGATCGGCATCCTCTGGTTCTCGGAGTCGGTGAAGATGCAAAAGGCGAAAGTTGGTGGTGCGAAATCTGCGACGGGAAGATGGATACGGAGGTGATGTACTACACTTGCGACATTTGTTGCGTCACCGTCCATCTCCGCTGCGTTCTGGGAGAGAATCCACACATGAAACCTGGTCGTTACTCCGACCTTTCGTTCCAGTTTGAGGTTGCGGCCAATAACACTTGTTGCCGACCGTTATGCCATCTATGTGGAAGGCGCTGCGCGTTCCCCGTTTCCTTCGAGACAAAGGGTTATCGTTTTTGTGCTCGGTCTTGCCTCAGCAATTTCAGAAGATCGGAGCTGGAAAAATTGATTTTTAGGTCTGCAAATAAATGAAAAAGGACGATACAGACTCCATTTCTTTCAACAAAATAATTTCAAGTTTGAATAAACATTTTTTTCTTATATATATATATATTGTAAAGACCGATACAAGCTTCGTTTCTTTCAAACGGGAATTAATAATATTGAATTAATGAGAAGGAGGGTCATTGAGATGTGGAAACTTCAACGGTAACTATTGAGTGGGAATATTCTTCTTTAATTCGTATAAAAATTATTGTCCCGTGTAGGTATAGTTTAATAAAAAGAAGGCCATACCCAAAAAAAAAAAGATTCTGATAAATAAAATTAAATAAGGTTGTCGCTCATAACAGTTGAACAGTCACATGATCTTCTTATTCAAATTAAAATACATATTTCATTAGCTCTATATTATAGTATAGAGATCCACATAGCACACACCACTCGAATCAGCCATTCTGCGGTTGAGAGAGAGAGATGGAGAAGGAGTTAGCCCACCTGAGTATCTACTGCCATGGGTGCGGTTGTATAATGAAATCCTCGAAACGCGAAGGCAATCTGTGCATACCTTGCTTCAATGAAATCAGATGGAGCTCGGATTCTCCAATGGAGATGAAACACCCTTATCACCCTCCTCACTCTCTCTCCCTCCTCCATCCTCACTCTGATTATGATTACGAAACTTCGGAGGTATGCAGCTGTTGCGGAGACAACCTCGGAAGGGGATGCGCATATCACTGTCCTCTCTGCAGTTTCTTCATGCACCTGCGTTGTGCCGAGAAACCACCGGTTCTTGAGGTGGCTCAGCCCAAGAGCCATGGCCATAAGCTCGTCCTCCTCCCTAAACCACGTCCCTTCACCTGCGATGCTTGTGGTCTACTGCTCGATGGTCCCACTCTTCCTTGGGCTTGTCTCGAATGCGGAGTCATGTTCCATAGAGAGTGTATTGACTTACCACGCGTCATAAGGATCTCTCGCCACCCACAACATCGTCTCTGTTACGTTCCCTCTCCCCCTTCACCAGCTCATGAACCATCATGGTCTTGCGGAGTTTGTCGTAAAGTGGTTGACAACCCGTATGGTGCGTATTCTTGCATCAAAGGATGCGATTATGTAGCCCATTCAAAGTGTGCAACACGAGGAGATGTGTGGGACGGGGCAGATCTTGAGGGAGTGCCCGAAGAAGCCGAAGATGTCGAGGATCCGTTCGAAGTTATAGATGACAAAGTGATACATCATTTCAGTCACGAGCATCATCTCAAACTGAACGAGGACGATGACACAAGCTTTGATGGAAGCAAGCACTGTCAAGCATGCGCCCTCCCTATTCGTATCCATCTGGGTAACACCTACAGATGCATGCAGTTTGATTGCGAATTTATCCTCCACCAAACATGTGCCAATCTATCAAGAAAGATATGGTACATGTTACACCCTCACCGTCTCGAACTACAAGCCTCTTCAGAAACAGGTATTAAGAGGTGTGACATATGTCCTAGGTTATGTTCTGGATTCATATACAAGTGTTGCAAAGACGACTGCCCTTTTAAAGTACATGTGAATTACGCTTCAGTCGCCGAACCATTTATCCATATAAGCCATCCGCACCCTCTTTTCTCAACGTCGATCTCGATGAGTGGCAAGACATGCTCAGGCTGCAGACAAAATCTTTACAATCATAAGCTGGAATGCATCGAATGCGACTTCGTCTTGTGTTTAAGGTGTTTAACTCTACCGCCTAAGGTAAGGTACGGGCAAGACAGACACCCTCTGGTCCTTCGGGGTGGTGAGGACGTTAGCGGCGGAAGCTGGTGGTGCGAGATCTGTGAACGGAAAATGGATACAGAGGTAATATTCTACGCATGTGACAGCTGTTGTGTCACTGTCCATGTCGATTGTATGCTCGGACGGGACCCGCTCATAAAGCCCGGTCAATATTCAGACCCATGGTTGAAAGAGTTTGAAGTCGCGGCCAACAACCGATGTTTCCGACCTTTATGCGCTCGATGTCGGGACCGCTGTCCATTCCCCATTTTTTTCAAGAGAAATGATCATCATTTCTGTAGTTCACATTGTCTGGATAAAATCAGAACATAGTGGTAATCATGACCACTACCCTTTACCCTTATGGGTTCCAAATCTGGTTCCCCATGTTACTTGTTTCTTAAAAAAAAAAAAAAAGCCTGACACGTTCTTCTTATCTTTCAAACAACAATTATTAGTATTAAATTGATGAAAAAGAGAGCCACTAAGATGTGTAAACTTAAGTGCTAAGTATATTGAGGTGAATAAGATTAGTTTTTTTTTTCTTCTTAAATTACAAAAAGCAGCTAGATTTACGATCAATAAACAACTTTTCTCTTTATTTTGAACAAAGGTAGACACAAAAACCAGAGATAAAACGGTAATTAATAATATCGAATTAATTAATGAAAGAGTAGTCATTGAGATATGTGCTAGATTCACGGGAAGACATGGAGACCCACGAGGAATGATTAATAAATGAAGTAGGAAAATAAGGAAATCACATGGTGGTTTCTTCATTATTCAAATGGGAAGAAGCGAGAAACGAAGATTACACACATTCCATCAACAAAAACAGGGTTTTTTTTTTATAAAAAAAAAAAACACAAACGGGTGCGGCTTGAAGAGAGCGATGGAGGTGGAGTTGGTCCACCTTCCAATCCATCCTCACCCTTTGGCACCTTTCTCCATTTCAGGTTTCTCGTGTCTCATGTGCTTTTCCGGACTGCAGTGCCGAGCATCCAAAGATTACTGGTGCACGTCTTGCTCCCATCCATTCCACAAGGAATGCGCCGAATCTCCATTGGAGTTGAACCACCACCCTTACCACCCTCCTCACCCTCTCACTCTCCGTCCTCTCGATCTCGACACAGATGAAGCTTCTGGTGTATGCAGTTGTTGCGGGGATCTGCTCGGAAAAGGATGGGTATATCACTGTATTATCTGCAAATTCATCATGCATTTTACTTGCGCCAAGAAGCCGCCAGTTCTTGAGGTGGATCGGCCCAAGAGCCACGACCACAAGCTCTTCCTCCTCCCTAAACCACGACCCTTCACCTGTGAAGCTTGTGGTCTAACGCCCGATGGCTCTTCTCTTCCTTGGGGTTGTCACCAGTGCGGTGCCATGCTCCACAGAGAGTGTTTTGACTTGCCACGCCTCGTTAGGATCTCCCGCCACCAACATCGTCTCTGTTTCGCTCCCTCTCCTCCTCCTCCAGCTCACGATGATGAGGCATGGTCCTGTGGAGTTTGTCGCAAAGTCGTGGACAACCATTATGGTGCATATTCTTGCATCAAGGGTTGCCATTACGTCGTCCACTCAAGATGTGCGACGAGAGAAGATGTGTGGGACGGGAAAGACCTCGAGGGAGAACCCGAAGAACTGGAAGATTTCCTGGCACCTTTCGAAGTAATATATGAAAAAGTGATACATCATTTCAGTCATGAACATCATCTTAAGCTGAATGAAGATGACGACCGTGAAAGCTCCGACAGAGGCCAACATTGCCAAGCATGTGCTCTTCCTTGTCGTGTTCACTTTGGTAATACCTACAGATGCACGCACGATGGTTGCGATTTCATCTTCCACGAAAAATGTGCCAATCTACCGAGAAATATATGGCACCTGATACATCCCCACCGGCTCAAACTACAGAAATGTGAAATAGGGTATATACTATGCGATGTTTGTTATCAGATAAGTTGTGGGTTCATCTATACGTGTTGCAAAGAGGATTGTAGTTTCAAAATAGACGTGGCTTGCGCTTCAGTCTCCGAGCCCTTTATCCATAACAATCACCCGCACCCTCTATTCTCCACGTCAATGTCAACGAACGACCATGCATGTTGGGGATGTAGAGAACAGTCTGGCAGTCGTAAGATTATGCAGTGCATCGAATGCGACTTTAACTTGTGTTTCAGGTGCGTAACTCTACCACCAAAGGTGAGGTACAAACAAGACATACATCATCTGGTTCTTGGCGGCGGTGGAGGAGAAGAGGCGGCGGCCATAGATGGAGGAAGGTGGTGGTGCGAGATCTGTGAAGGGAAAATGGACGAAGAGAAGGAAATGTATTACACGTGTGACATTTGCTGCGTCACTGTCCATGTCCATTGCATCCTCGGACAGGATCCGCTCATGATGCCCGGCCGATATTTGGAGGGGTCTGAAGATGCGTTTGAAATTGAAGCCAGCATCAGTTGTTGCCGACCGTTTTGCCACAAATGCGGAAGCCGCTGCCCATTCCCCATCCATCTCAAGAAAAAGGATCTCCGTTTCTGCTCTCTCATTTGCTTATTTTCTTGAGAATTTTGAGTTTGATTACTTACAATTTTTAGAATTTTGGATACTAAACTTGAAATATATATATATTCCATATTTCCCTGTTGATAATCTTTTTTTAGTTTTTGTATCTATTTTTCGTTTTAAATTTGTTAAATAAGGATATTCCCAGACTTGTGTAAGGCCCTTTATACAAAAGTATGAATGAATATTTCAATTATGATATAACTAACCGACTATAACTGTAATTGAATTGCATTGCATACCGTCTAAAAACTAAAAACTAACTCGTTATTAATTTTTTAAAATTAAATTAATTAAATTTGAACCAAACTTCAATCGAGTATAACAATAGTAAAAAAAATAAATAAACAAATGCTAGAATTTTTTTAATGAAAATTAAATTTATAATTTTAAAATCTAAAGGAAAAGATAAATCATCCGAAAGATAAAAAATCCCAAACATAAAATATCTAAAATATCTACAGCGGGTCTAATAAGCTCAAGTAAACCCTAAAAATACCAAATTCTGTCGTGTTTACACCAAACCAAATCCCTGGTTTCTTTTGTTGTAGCTCTTCGATCAAAACTCTCAATCTGTCCGCAGAGAATCGATCTGGGAGTGAGAGAGCGAGGAGATTGAGGGAGCGACAATGGATGCCATGAGGAAGCAGCTCGATGTGCTCATGGGTGCTAATCGAAATGGCGATGTGACGGAAGTGAATCGCAAGTACTACGACCGCGAGGTCTGCCGTCTCTACCTCTCTGGTCTCTGTCCTCACGACCTCTTCCAATTGACGGTGCGTATAATCTTTGTGTCCATGTCCTCTTTCGTAGTCTGTTTTCTGCTCATCTCCCGAAAACCCTATCTTCATTAATGCGGTGCTTCGTGGGGTTCGATTATTTGGGTGGTGAAAATGGTCGAGAAGGCACGAGAGGAAATGAGATTCGGTGCATGAAATTACAGATGAGGATATATTGATTCTATGTTGTTAAAAATCCTAGCTTATATAGGGTGTGTGTGTTGATTATGATTAATGTTTGGTTGGGATGGAAGATGGGAGCATGGCCAGGCGATCATATCATTATAGTGACAGCATGTTACTCGCTAGCTATCTGAAATGCTTTTGTCAGTTTCGTCGTTTTACTCTACCCTTTAGATGGCGTTCTTGGCCCAAGAACGATAGTCAGTTGTATATTACTGATACTTCTTCTCTATTTTGGTTCCCAAGTAACTCCTCTTCGTAATTTTTGACCCCCTTTGATTTTTGTGTTATCAGAAAATGGATATGGGTCCTTGCCCAAAAGTCCACTCTTTGCAGCTCAGAAAAGAGTATCCTTTTTTGGAAACTATAAGTCTATCTCGCTTTCCCTAGCATCGAGCTCACTTTCTCTAGTTCCCTATTTTCCATCATTTTGTTATTATGGTACCCAAAATCCCTGTATGAAATTGTTTCTAATATCTATTTAAATCTCATAGCATGTGAGTGCCATGGTTGATTCGCAATGAGTTTTTTATTGACTAGCTGAAAGCAGTGTTTATGGTTTGACTAATCTCCTTGGGTTTATTCTTGAAGGATCTTTATCTATCTGATTAAAGTATGTGAAATTAGTCATGAAGACTGACATGGGTTTTGGGGTCTAGGCAAAGTTGTTATTGGAATTGTATATGAGGCTTTGATTTCATCATATATAGTTTTACCACATCTTCAGTGGTGTGTTTGTTTCTTTTCCATACTTTTGTGTTGCCTTAGCACTTCCTTAGATATGAAGAAGCAAAGGCAAAAGGTGTTGACAACTATGACAGGGAATTGGAAGACGCTATAGACAGGTTGATTGTTGAGTGCGATAGGAAGATTGGTAGGGCCCTTAAGCGTCTTCAAGAAGAGGATGCCAAAGCTGCCATCGCAATTTCCGTCTCTGAAGTCACTCTGGTGATGATCTAATCGCAGATATTGGAGGTAGTTGTTACCTCCTAGTTTCTAAATTCAGATTTATCCATCTTTTGGTACTTTAACTGCAGACACCTGAAATACTGGAGTTATCAAAACAAATTAAAGAGAAGATGAAGGAAGCAGACCAGCACGGTAATATGATACAGTATAAATATTTTTCCAGCTCTTTTAGGCCCCTTTGCTTTCTTGAATGACTTTTCTGTTAATTGGTGGCATAGCTTTGTTGTTTGTTGTGTAAGTTAATGTTCCTCTTGAAAATCCATGAAAATGTTTATTATGTGATTATTTGTATGAATGGGTTAATGTGGTGATAACAGGAGCGTTGCTGCAACCCGTTCTGATTTTTAAAGTTTCATTATGCTACTCCTTAGGTCAGACACTGTGTTTGTATTTCCTGAAATATCGTCTTACCATCTTCTAGAGCGGGATAAACACTTGTGTCTTTACCTGTATGTTTGCTACTATGCATGGAATTGTTGAATTTAGGTTTTGATCAGGTGAGATAACGCATTAATGGCTTACTAAAGTGTAAAATAATTGCATCTGTTACTTTTAAATATATTTCTTTTATCTCTGTTTCAACACAGTTTTCTTGGTAGAATTTATTTGCTGTGGTCTGTACTAATTTACTAAAATAATTTTGAACAGCCTGCTCTTCTAGAAAATAAATCTTGATGTTCTTAATTGACTGAAATTGAACTTGTGGTATTGTCTGAGATGTCATTTAACCTTTCCTGAACATTCCACATTTTATAACCTGGCGTCTTTTTGGGTTGGGTGGCAACGCTTCTGCTAATGGTTGTTGTTTGGTTGTTGAACTCGAGATGCTGGTAAAAATCGTCTTAAAAGGAAGATTGTGATGTCACTTTACAGATCTTGAAGGCAAGACGGATTTTAAGATTAGAGCTGTTGAGATAATTGAAGAATTGAGGACCAAGAGAGCTGACAAACAGGTGTGTGAAGATATGCTTTGCTATGGATTTGATCGGCCTGGTAGGTAAGTTAATTATGTTATGTTAAGTTGGGAAATCGTTTTTCCTGTTTCTGTTGTAGGCAATGCTGCTTCTGGATGCCTTCAATAAGGATAGGGCATCCTTGCCGCAGCCTGTTACTACTCAGCCCCCAGCATCATCATTGCCTCCACCTGATCCTCGTACTCAGGAAATGATAAATGAGAAGCTGAAGAAGGCAGAAGATCTCGGTAAGGGAGTAACATCTAATTGACATCTGTTTTATTGCAATAGTTGGAAATAACCAGTAGATGGTTATGACATCTGTTCATTTTCTTAGGTGAACAAGGAATGGTTGATGAAGCACAGAAAGCACTAGAAGAGGCTGAAGCTCTCAAGAAGGTTTGTTTATGTTTCTTAATGTCGTTCCCTGTTTGAAACTTATATTTCACTTTTTGTAATTTGTACACTGAAGCAGTCTGGAGATGTTGAAAATATAGTTACCCTAAGAGATGTATTGATATCACATGGAAAGTACTTGAGTACTTGTATCATTTTCCTTTCAGCTTAATTTGCCGAGGTTATAACCTTTGATCCTTCCCTGTTCCTAGATTTTATTAGTCCCTGAAGAGTGTTGTGCCTATTTTTGTTTCAGCTTGCTGTTAGACAAGAGCCTGTAACGGATTCTTCCAAGTACACTGCAGCTGATGTGCGCATTGTAAGTTGAGACTGTTTTTTTTATCACCTTATTTCTGTGCCATGATTGCTAAATTTGACTTCTCTCATGAAGGTTACCTAGAATTGTGTTTCCAGTGTCTCTCGGATTCTGCCAAGTACGCCTAGACTGTTTTTTTATGACCTTATCTCAGATGTCTCTTTAAAATGTTGAAGGTGACAATCCTTTTTTGTGCAATTAGATGAATAGTCGTGGATTTGAAATGTGTTAGGTTCACTGGATTGTTTGATTTCATTTAAAGGATGAACAAACTGTTGTTCGCTCTTTCCAAACAGATTAGTCGCAGTGTGCATTGGCACAGAAGTATAACATGTTCCTTCTGTGCTGAATGTGTCTGTTACATGGGTCCGTTTTTCTATTCTTCATGTCAATTGATTAACTATTCTTGGTGTTTCTTTGTCATCTCAGACAGACCAGAAGCTACGCCTATGTGACATATGTGGAGCATTTTTGAGTGTATATGACAGGTTAAGTTTGTTTACTTGAACTTTGTGGTTTATATTTCCTTTCGGCATTCAAGGGCAAGCTAGAAATAGATTCTTGGGTTGCATGTGGTTTGACATTTGACTCCCGGCTATTGTGCCTCCTTTTCACCAGCAGGCTTTTTGGGCCCAATTTAACGAGGATTACTTTTGCAGCTGTTAAATGTGCGTCTTTCTGATTTATTATGCTCGACAATCGTAACATTCGAGATAGTGAACCTTTGATCGGTGTTTATGTTTCATCAATGATCGGCAATGTTATAAAATTTGTGCTGCTTTTAGTGATCGTCGCTTAGCTGATCATTTTGGAGGGAAGCTTCATTTGGGTTACATGCTGATTCGGGACAAATTAGCAATGCTTCAGGTATATTGTCAGTCTCCTTGGGGATTCATTTTTATATCTTCATATTACATTTATTAATTTGCCCTTGTCAAGTGACCCGAGTTAGTTTCAACTGATTCTCAAAATATTTCTCTAAAGTTTCTTCAGGAAGAAAGAAACAAAGTTCGGAAGGGACAGAATGAGGACAGGAGGTTTTCTTCCATGACTTTCATTCACTCTGATTGTTTTCAATTTGGTATCCTTGGCGATCCCTAAGTGTAAAATCATGTTCATTTTCCAAACTATTCATTTCTCAGATCAAAAGAACGCAGTAGGGATCGCGAATCAAGTAGAGACCGAGACCAGGGGGATAGTCGTGACCGGGGAAGAGATGACGATCGCAGGAGTAGAGATCGGGATAGGTATTATGATCGTGAACCTGAAAGAGACCATGACCGAAGACGAAGCTATGACTCAAGAAGTCGGCGTAGGTCACGTTCCCGCTCCAAGGAAAGACCAAGGGACTATGATCGTCACAGGTACTGATCTAATTGTCATCCCACATGCATCTAGTAATTTCCTTACCTATCTCAAAAGCTAAGATAGTGATGGTTAGAGTTGCGTCCATTCTCTCTTTTTGGATTGTAATAGGCGTCTTTATTACTGAAGAAACATAAAAAAGAGAAGTTTATTTAGGAGCAAGTAACAAACTGGAATCTGCATTTGTATTTGTGGGTGGAACCCAAGATTCTGTTCCAGTGTTCTTTCCTCTTTTAAGTTTCTATTGCAATAAATCTTTGTTATTTTGGTGGCATATATAAAGCATGTGATGGGTCTGTAATAGTGAAAATGAGAGAATATTTACTCTTGCAGGCGTCACGACCGCTACTAAGGGGCTCGGCCGCCTGAGAGCTAACGGCCGATATATAATATCAATCTGGTGGTGAGACTCTCTTACATTATGTGTTTTTGTTTTCCTTTTTTTTTTGGGGGGGAGGTGTATGTTCCCACGTTTGTGGAGATTCCCAGTCAGTTTCCTGCCCTTGTGGTGGTGATATCAAAGACTCGTAGAAGATTTGCCTTCAGTTCACAGTATGGAATCCTTGGTGAGATCTTGTAGTATGTTTTATGCCATCAGAATTTGGTGTTTTTCTCGTCGCCACATGCGAGGGTTGTTGTCTACTGCTTACCTTTTTTGAACTTGGTTTCGAATTTTAACCTCTGAAAGATCGATCAATGTCTGCCTAAGAAGACTATAAAGGAATATTGACCCCATTAAAGTGTTGACGGGTGCAATCCCAATTGCGGACTTTTATGATGCGTTTGCTGGCCATTGGTATTGATTGGTAGAAAAACTGTTGTTGGTAGAAATTGCGATTTAGAACGATTGGTTGATAGCGATTGCGATTTTGTTTAAATTAAAAAAAAATACATTTTTTTATTTATTGTATACAATATTAACTATTTTTAAAATATTTTAATTAGTTTTTTTACTATTATTTGATATCAAATAATTATTAAATTTATAAATATAATTTTATTATTAATTTAATTTATTTTGAAAAATAATTTAAATATTAAAAATATTTATTGGTACAACCAAACAATATCAAACATAATATATACCAAACAAAATTATTAATATTTTTTTAAATTTATGTATATATGTATTATATATATATATATGTGTATATATATATATGTGTATGTATGTATATGTATATATATATATATATGTATGTATGTTTATGTATGTGGGTGTATGTATATATATGTATGTGTGTATATGTGTATATATATGTATATATTTATATGTGTATATATGTATGTATGTGTATATGTATATATATATGTATGTGTATATAGATGTATGTATGTATATATGATTGTTTGTGTGTATATATATATATGTGTGTATATATGTATGTATATATATGTATGTGTATATATATATATGTATGTGTATATATATATATATGTATTTATATATTTTATGTATATATACACATGCGTAAGTTCTTTAAATATATAATATGATATATGTATATATATATATTAATATTAGGATTATTTTGATCATTTAATCAAAATATTGCAAAACGCTATCGTAATCTTTTGGCTGCGATTAGAATATTGATGTTTTATTACGATTGCAATCACTTTTTCAATCGTCCGTAATCGCCAGAAATTGCAATCGCTACGAATTGCGGGCGATTGCCGGTCACAACCTAACTAGTTTGAGTTTTGGACAATCATTCGTATATGAAATCATATCTTCTCTATATTTTTCTTCTTATTCTTATATTCATGTTCATGGAAATGTATTTCAAGGTTTTTAGATGAGAATGGTATCTCAAGACACATTACCACATCTAACAGAAGCTATGAACACGAGACAGAGAAGATGGACAGCAGTAGTTGCCTGTCTGGAGCAGAACTGGACATTGGCCTTTGCCGAATCTGAGCACATCCCGACTTGCGGATCCAGGATCATGAACTTCAACACGATCCCCCCATTTCCGACACACGGATCCTATCGTGTAATTGCTCGCGAATGGTTATATGTTCAGGACACTGAATGCATCCTTCACCTAGAAAAAACAATTCCATTCATTCTTACTGGCAATTCAAATCAAATTCTCCGCCTTCACGCCAGTTCTCTTGCTCATCTGTTTCTCCATTTTCATTTTCCTCATCATTCAAGAAATCTTCTGAGGGTTCCTTCTCATCTCTCTGGCTGTTGTTTCCCCATCCATTCACCATCTCATCAAGGTTGATGTTAGGCTCCATCTCATGACTTAGCGGACCATTGTTTCCCTGATTCAAAATCGCATTTGCTCTTATCGGGTTGTGAGAAATGATCTCAGCATGGGCCTGCAACTCTGCCCTTACTTGTCCTGCCTGTGCCATAGCTGCCATTCGCAACTTAGCCTCCTGAGCCTCTTGAGCCTCCCGACCAGCTTTCTCCTGATCCATCTCTGCTTTTAATTTGAACAAGGTTTTTCTCTCTTCTTGGAGCAAAGCTTGTTCTATCATCAACCTTTCCTCAGATCTGAACTCTCCTATGGCTCTCTTTCGAGTTATTATGTTAAAAGCTAGGGCTTGTTTCTCGAATGTCGCCGCGAACTCTGCAACTTTAGCTGCGATGTTGTTATCCCATTGCTGGGAGCGGGATAGAGTCTGGCCCGTTGTGTCTGAATCAAGGATTCTATCGTCCTCTTCTGCTTCATAATCTGCTACGACATGGTAAGGCAATAATCTGCATAAGTCAGAAGAGAAGACCGAAAATGAGGAATATAACATAACAGAGCACATCTTCAATGTTTAAGCCGCTGCAAATTGGCAATGAATCTAGGTAACCATAGTAAAACAAACAGTCTGATTACAGAAACTTAAGCAGATATCGTAGATTCTCACTTTACACAAAATTTCCCAGATTATACCAATGGAAAAGTTGCTAGAAACTTTATGCCATAAGGAGAAAATGTGCTTGCAAATTAACTGCACAACTTGGATAATCAGGTCGATGCTACCACACTAAATCCAATCCGGTATGTGAAAATATTTCGAGATGAGGATTCTACAGAAACAAAAGGTGAACTGACACGCAGGCAAATCTCGAGAGACCCACACGAATCAATCAACGGAAACAACAACAATCACATCAATCCCAGAAGCTTCCAAAAGGAAACATTTTTAGGTTACTGTATTTAGTATTTGCAGGATATATGAGATGGAGGCAACAATAAGTCTCAAAGAGATAAGAGTATATCACTTCAATCACAGAATTCATGATTTCATATATTGAAGACCACACACAACACACAATGCATACAAGAACAAACGAAATTCAACAACTTCAGGAAAGACACGCGATTAAGGCGTACAGATGATCTCAGTGAATTCCTCAGATGTCCAAACCATCAGAAAAAACGATCCATTCAAGAGCCAACAAATCAAAATATGACAAGAAAACATAAATTTTATTAAACGAACCTTTCGCAAGCGTCTTCAAGAGAAGAGAAAGGCCGCTTGAAATCCGGATGGCAGACACGCCAAGCGTCCTGGTAAGAGAACTGAAGCTCCATGTGGTTCAACGGTCGCATCAATTTCTGCTGCTGTTGCTGACTACTCGACATATTCTGCTGGTGCTGCAAGTTCGGAGACTGCTGCACCAAATTAGGGCTATGATTAGGGTTAGGGTTAGAGCTCTGCTGAGACGGGTTGATGGGTCGGCTCTGAATTAATCCCGGGGTCCGGAGATGCACATCGATATTCGATGGAAACCTCGACATCGCCGCCTGTTGTTGCTGTTTCTGCAACTGTTGCAACAGGAGGAGTTGCTGTTGACGCTGTTGCTGCTGTAATTGTTGCTGCTGTAATTGGTGTTGTTGAAGGATGAGTTTCTGCTGCTGCTGCGCAGACATTGGCTTAGATTCATCCATTTTGTTCCTCCCGTGATCCTCTTGAGTATGACTTTCGAAGTCTAGGGCTTCCGTCTGCAAATGTTCTTCGCCATGACCATGTCTACGTTTCAAGCAACACAATGAGCGAGAATCAGAACTATTTCTTGCTGTTGCTCATTGGTCTTATAGGTACTTGAAGCCCATTGGGCCTACAAGTATTGGATGTCTATTGGGCTGCATGGCTAATAAAGAGCCCATTGGGCCTTATTAATTTGCCTCACATTTCACGTTAGTGTGAACGAATTTTTTGTTTAATTCATGCTAATTTCAATTTTAATGCACTGTATTTATTATTTTTATTTTTATCCGGATATTTCACATTTGTATCCAAAAACGTTTTTCTCCTAAACTTTCAGATTTGGGAAAAGATTAATCACTTTATGAAAACTAACAAATACCCTCCATTTTCTTCATCACCACGTGTGGGTATTGAATGAATTCACTCTATTCGTCTGCAGCATATTGAAATTTGTATCCACAACGGTCGGAGACAATATGAAACCACGAACACAAGCGTTCTGTGTGTCCGGAGGTTATGATCCAACAACCAACTCTTTCAAAGATCTGAATGGCGAGTTCTGTCCGTATGCCACTGCGTCTCTCCACAAAGTCAGCCCTGTTTGGATACAAAATAAAGCCATAAACCACCTTGTGAGATGGATTCGATACGGAAGATTGGACGGATGAAAAGGACAAAATTTACGGAAGAGAGATCCCCGAGTTCACTGACCGATCCATGAGATCAAACCGAGCGTAGCCGCCACGAAGAATCCCTTGCTGGTGCAGTTAAATCTGTGGATAAATGGGGTTATTTCTGATCAAACCGTTGTTTTGATGAGGATTGATGATGGACAATATTTTTAGCAACACCCTTGGAGAATCTTACATATATAAGCATAGGACATTGCCATATCCGTACAAGAGGGTTGCCCATGATGAACCAGTGAACCTGCATCAAGATTTTAAGCCGATCAATGTCTTGCATGCCTCGTTTTTCCGTCTTGGATTAGAAAAAAGAGATGAAAATGATGTGAATTCTAGAATTTACGCCACAAAAACGAAGATTTATCACTGCCTGTGGGAGACCGAAAATATCAACCGGACCTAACTCTCCATAAACCAATGGAACTCTAGCAGCAAGAAAATCCAAGTCCGATAAGACTGATACGTGATTCGACACTACAGAGTAGTCTTAGAAGAGACGGGAGAATTAAGATCGTGACTTTGCGATCACATGCTAAAATATCCAATCACAAGCATATTGTTTAATAGAAAGGGTCGGGAAGATTTGAAGAACATTACCACATGAGGTCGCGGATGAATAGTGCTCGAGGGATCATAAGGCCATTCCCCATCATAGCCAGCACCATTGTATAAGGCGATAGGCCTTTTATATTGTCAGGGCTCAGGAAATTTGTCCACTGAAAAATTAGGACATCATCAGATGGGAACCACAAAGAAAAAACAGAGTCAGACTGATGAGGGAATGTCCGAAAAAAAAGCATTTGCCAAAATACCATCTGTGAGACAGGCATCCACATGAAAAGAAGTGTGGCCGTCCATCCGGAAATTGATCCGACAAAGTTAACACCTTTCTCCGAGAGTTTCCCGGTACGGGCCTGCAATGTTACCAACGGAAAATTCAAAAAATAAATCACAGTTTGAAGCTCGAGTTAAGAGTTCCAGTCCCTTCTCTATGGGATGCTTGTAAGCCAAGAGTTACAAATGAAATACGATTGCAGGAATGAGATTTTAGAGAAACCAGAAGAGATCATTAAAAAGGGGGGAAATGAGCAAAGGCTAGTCACATTCTGGTCTCCACATCCCACACACCTTTTCCATGACTATGCCGCCGGTATTTTCTATAACTAAGAAGTAAGAACCCCTAGATTGCTACTCAAGTGTTCTGTGTTCATAATCGGGTCGAAATCATCGTGATTAATTTACAAGATCAATAACAAAATTTGTTAAAAAACGTTGACATATCCCTCCCAGCAAACAATACAAGTCAAGACTGTACATGCATAGGCTCACCATGACAATTGCTGCCACAGCGATAACAAAAGCTGTCGCTCCCGGCAAGATGCAGTTTGGTACATACGGGACAAAAGTAGACCACATGATCTGCAATTTTCAGTTTAAAAGAGTTAGCTTCAAACTGAACAGCTAATTCTATTCTCCTGACCCATCCAAGATGTGTGAATGCACAGTTAAAAAGAAATTACTTGAGGAAGAACTGAGAGTCCACCGACAGTGATAAAGTCTTCCCACAATTGCCATATTGTAGCAGTAAGCAGACCAAAGTAGTTCATGAAGTTCAATGCAAGACCCATAAGCACAATGGTTGAAGTAGCAACAAAATGCTGCAAAGGCATTGCTTCAGCCATTCTGAGCTGCAGTAGAACAACGTAGGTTGTGATAACTCCCAGTGTCTGCACCAAAACCGCTTCCTTTTCTTTCTTCTTAGCGAAATACGAAAGCAACGACAGGTTTCCAAGCAAACCAGTTAACATCCCCTGCATTCGAAACTCGCTGTCTCAGTTTCGGAAACACAGAATGAATCATTACCCATTTCCACACACATTTTGGACGATGGCAAACATAAAGACTTGTACTTCTCTCTTCCTCTAATGAGCTTCATCAAGAGCAAAAGACCAGAGAATACAAGACAGGTCGTGTCGAGGAATCGAGGAGAAATACAGTGAGTACGAGATTGTAAGAGATTACCAGCCATGGGACTGCCGAAAGGGCTGTCTTGTTTCCCGCCATAAGATTCTGGGCATTGAGGATAATCTGCGGCAACTGTAGCATCAGAAACGGAAAGTTCGCTGCACCGGAAAATTTCGCCGTCCATGAATCCCATTCTTCATATGCTTTACTTTTCCCAAAATCTGCAGACCCCTTGAGAAATTCGACAAATCACCAAAGACCCAGCAACCAGATCAACAATCATTATATGATACAGAATCAGGATCGATCCTCATGAAAAAAAGGAATGCGATAAATGAACAAATCTAGAAACTTTCAGCTAACACGAACAAGCTTTCTCAGCATCCAAACAGGGGACGAGCTTCGACACCTCAATCAATTCACATTTAAATCTCACCTGGTGAGGGAGCCCCGAGTCGACGGCGCGAACCGGAATGATCCGACGGCGAGTCGACAGGACCGAGTTCAACCGAGTCAGACCCAACCCACGGGAACAATTAACGGCAACAGTGGACGCGACACCGTCGTTACGCTTCGACGGCGAACAGGAGAGCCGGCTCGTGGGAAGGCGGGAAGAGGAAGGGCAACTCGGGAATATCAAGAAGCGATGGCCGCCGAGAGGAGTTGCGACAGACTTAGCAGCCATGGAAGATGCTCTTGCGTTTTCAGAACGGAGACGAAGAGGGGAAAACCCGAGTGAACTCGGCAACTGTAATGGAGAGAAGGCATAGGGAACAAAGACCAAGTTGACACGTTGAGGGCATTATCGTAAATATTAAGACGATTTGCACGGATGCGCCATGTGTCCGTCTGTTGGGATCGGAGATTTTTTCCTCTTCCCGCCGCCTCGTGACGTGGACTTGTCGGAAAATACGATTTTACAATTTAGAAAAATCTCTTCTTCCTTCATATGTCATCAAGCAGAAGCCTTACGTTTGAACACAAAAGGAAGATTTGGTAAATGATACAAAGAGCAATAATATTCAAGTGAAATAGGCTTTCAGTTGTACAAGAACAAGACAACACCACATCCAATGACAAACCAGACCGAACCCTCTTGAAGATCTTCAACTCAACTCACATTATACAGCAACCCGGCGATGACTCCAACATCTCCGGAGACCTGCCCATATGCTAAACAAGTCAGCTCAATCCTTCTCATATATACATATACATACATACAGTCACATCAATGTGTTATGAATGTCGGATATATTCCAGACAAGTAGAGGATAAAGTACTTACATCTGTCCTAAACTGGCGAAATCAAACCCAGGATCGATCTCCTGCACGATATCGCTCGGTGGTTGCCCGCATTCCGAACCAAATAACGAGTCATGCCCGATGAGTTG